TATTAAGCATGTTAAAGATCAAATGACATTTCTTTATTTGCATTGATCTTGATGTTATAATTCTAAAAATTTAAATTACTAATGCTTATATTAATTAAGTTTTCTTCTTTTATTACTTAATCGCTATATTTTACTTGTTAATCATATGTAATTTCAATATACTAAAGAAAAGATTGTTGATCTTTATAAATTAATATCATTCTAGGTTTTTTAGAGTAAACACATTCAGATTCTCGGCATAGACTATTTTCATTTAATAACAACTTTTATGAATTTTCACTGTTTATAATTGTGCCATAATTATTTTACGATTTTTCAATTATGCAAGAATTAAAATTAAGATCATCATCATTTTTAGATATTTAAAAAGTATGGATTATTTTTTAAGGAAAAATCTAGGTTACACTTAAGGCATATTCCTTTTTAACAAACTTGCCAATTTTATATACATTAAAATTAGCATTCAAAACATCCATCATATGGCTAATCATTTTAATCATTGCACTTTTCATATTTGTAAATTACAATTCCATCTCCACAAATAGAAATACAAGAAGTTTAATAATGTAAAGAATTAATTTAACATTAATATTTGCACTCATTACATCCATCATACGGAGTATTATACAAATCTTCGCATTATTCAGTTCCTGCAACAATACTATCTTCGCTTTACGGTAAACAATCATTACTAAAATCATCATAATATAATCCAATTAAATCTTCACATTATTTTATTTTTCCACAAATACCTTATGATTTTACAAGTACAAAAGGAGATTCAAATTCCATGCACCTCCAAATTAACAATTCAAGCATTCCATTTAACATTAATAATTACATTAAAAACATCCATCATATCTTAATTCATTACCATCATCACAAGCTTCATTACCTGACAGTATTTTATCACCACAAATTAGATTACATGAATTACTTACAATATCTAAAAAGAATTCTACAAAACAATGAGTACAAACTCCATAAGCACATAATTTATAATATTAAAGACATTAATATTTACAATATTTAGGCATTTATCTACCTCAAAATAATTACCATCATCGTATTCTTCTTCCTAAACTATTATACCATCATCACATGTAGGCATACATTAATTTCCATAATATCCAAATTCACATTCTAAACATTATGAAAGTAAGCATTATTTACAGCATTCATATTATAATCAACGTTACAAGTATTAGTAATCAAATCTAGATATCCAAATTAACAAAGAATGCATTAGTTATGAATTAATAATTTACAGTTAGGTTACTCGTATATTGTAAGAAAAGGTTGTCTAGATTTATATTAATTATTTGATAAATCTAATTCATAATTAGTTTAACATGATTGAGATATTCCATTCAAATATCATTTATATTTCTAATTGATCATCAATATCATATTTAACAACTTAATTAGTTTATTAACGATTTTAAACATAACTTAAAGACCTGTATAACAATGGAATAATAATATTGTTGTAAATGAAATTTGAAAACAATACACTTGTTTAAGAATTATATTATAATGAGGAATCATAATAATTTTAGGATTTAGAAATTAAGTTTAATATAAACAAAGAAAAAATAAGATAAGGAGAAATTGCTGAATAATAAAATATGGGATTCCAAACAAAAAAAGAAAACTTATGGATATCATTAAAAAATTAGAAATCTAAGAGATTTATAGTATACCACATTCAGTAAAATGGCATTTTATCAAATTTTATGTGACTGCATAGACAATCACTAATAGTTGGCAAACCCAACATTTATTCTGATAATTAGAGTAATTTCATAGCTTTTAATTATCAAGATAATTGATTTATCACATAAATTACTCTAATTTTAAGTTAATTTAACATAATAAACCTTCATTTTTGAATAACTATTTTAAGCCATTTTCCAAAACAGTTTCAATTTCTTTAACTTCTTTATCTTTATCTTCATCTTAATTAAATAATTTTATTTAAAAATAACTCAATTATCAGTTATTTAATATTTTAATGGATTGATATTCTATTACACTTATTAATTATATATATATAATAAAATTTTAATATTATTAATCACATCCTAAATTTCTAAAATTATATAGAATTTCAATATCAAAATCATGGCTGGGTCTTT